TGTCGTGCTAGGCTAGGGGCTGTGTGGTTCTGCAGCCTGAGTGCCTTCTTCCTGAGCCAGAAGCAGGACCAGGAAGAGCTAAGAGCCCCCCCTTTACAGGCTCCTGAGAAGCAAGCCATGGGTCCTCCATGCCCTTCGGCTGACAGGGATGCTCTAACCTGCAGGGCAGGACTTGTGTGCATTAGCCTGAAATCAGGGCCACTGGTCACTTTCTGATGCCGCGTGAAGCCACATTCATATCTGCCAGAATCCCTTCACCCGGGCCATCCAGGCAGCTGACCCCTCTCGACATCTGATAGATTTCCTCTTACACCACACACTTGTGAGAGCCTTGTTCCTTCTCAGCTGGGAAGCTCACTCCCAAACGCACTGCTCGGGATGAACTATGTGTGTGTGTGTGTTGTCTGCTCTTGTCTCAACCACAAATTTCACGGGGTGTTAGGGTGGCACTCCAGCTAAAAGGGGAAAGAGCCAGATAAATATAGTTATATATTTGTCAGCTAAAACCCCGATTGTTATTTCCATGTTGTTCTAAGCTCACTTCCAAAATTACAGGGATGTTGTATAATGTGGACCCGAGGGGACATTTGCCTCAAACCATCTGGAGATTGAATTCTGAAGTTAAATAATCTTCCCCCATCCCCCACCCCCCATAAAAGGAACAACTTTATTATAATAATTTTGTATACACCATGTAAAAGACTGATCCTTCTCCTTTCATATAAATCTGATTCTGTTTCTTGATGCCTCGGGTTACCTTGAAAAATTCTAATAATTTAACAACACCTTTATTGTGTATCCAGATCACTTTTCTTCTGAGCTCTAGTAGGAATGAGAAAAAGTCTCAATTCACTGCACACACACACTAGTTTAGATTAGAGTCATTCTAATTTTTGCTTCTCTCTGTGTGGCATCTTGGTGACTGTGTACCTTGTATTAATTGCCTATTCGTAAGAAAAGATAGGCAAAATCATGAGGCTACAGAAACTGTAATGAAAAATCAAAAGTAGTGGTTAGTGGCTGAAGCCGGAGGGAAAGCTTTGGGCCAGTGCATAACAGAGCTCAGTATCTATAATAATAAATCAGTAATATGCTAATTAGACCAGACATCATTCCGGGTGTCATTCCAGAAGTCCTTCTGGACAAAGCCAGGGCTGGAGGGAAGCCCGGGTCCCGGGTGTCAGAGGGAAGCAGGCGCCAGCAGCTGGGGGAAGGAAGGCCTGCTCTTGCATGAATTTCGTGCATTGGGCCTCTTGTCACTAATAAAGCAGAGGGTTGGAGAGTCCTGAACCCAAAGGGCTGCCAGCTGCATTCCAAGGCATTGTGAATGTTTGGCCACAGCGAAGTCTCTTTTGAAAGCTTAGCTATCCCACGGACAACTGTATTCCTTTTGATGGAAAAAGAGTAGAAGGAACCAATAAGAATTAATCCATCTTTCACTAGATCCCCTGCTAAAAGAAGTAAACACATTGTTTGGTCCTGAAAGAAATGTGACTCAGCTGAGGCGAATCAGCACGGACTCACTCAATTGAATCACATCCATTTGACCTCTGCTTCTGCTCCTTGGCTCTAAGAGCTCTGTGTTCTGAAACCAGCTTCTGCTGTAGCACCGTCAGCCCGTGTAGCCAGTTTTACTATTTTGATGGACTCACCCATCCCCATACCTACCAGGTACAGGCATACCTCGGGGATATTGTGTGTTCAGTTCCAGACCCAAAGCAGCAAGGCTCAGGGAAACACAGAGTGAAAATCCATCAACAGGCAACCACAGTCCCCACCCCTCCAGGGTCCTCTACGGGCAACAGGATGGCTAGGTAGGGCTCCTGCCATACTGAGCAGAGTACCAGGCAAAAGTCTCAACTACACAAGCAGAGCAAAGACCCTCTCTTCTGAACCAAGGCGAAACCGGAGGCTGAGAGGGTGGGGATGCTTATACCTCAACCAGAAGGGCTGGGACTGTTCATTTCCCACCTGCTGAAGCTCAGGATTCGCTCCAGAGCCTGCTTCTCCAAGTATGGGCAGCGTGAGCATCACCTGGAGCTTGTTAAAAATGTAGGCTTTCCCCGGAGAGCCTTGCTTTCTAAAGTATGGGCAGCAAGAGTGCCACCTGGGGCTTGTTACAGTGGCAGCCTCTTCGGTCCACCCCAGGCCTTCTGAATTAAAATCTGCATCTTAGGGGAGCCCCAGGCAGTTCATATATAATGCACTTGCAAGAGAAAAGCAGTCCTCTGTCTACACCAGGGTGGCCAGCAGAAGGAAGAGGAGGAGGAAGCTGAGCCCGTCGGACATGTGAGTGAAACGGACAAGGGTTTGGGCTAAGAAATCCTGCCCTTCATCCACGTCCGGCCACGGTCCATGCAGCCAGCCTCCGGGGAGCCTTTCTTCCAGAAATCTGTTGGGTCTCCCTTAGAACCGGGGAAAGTGGACCTGATTGCTGCTTTCCCTTCCTTTTCTCTGTTAAATGTTCCACAGTCACCGACCTGCATGTCAGCCGCAAACTGGTCCTTCCTTCCTCCATATCCCTCTGTGTGTCCAGCAGGCACAGGCGGCAGAGAGAGGCATTTTGAAGTGACAGACTTTTAAAATGATGAGGTTCCTTCCAAAGACGTTTTCTTCTGAGCTGGAGAATGTAATTGTATCCAGGCTGTCCTTTGAGCCACTTTTAAGAGTTTCTATTCTGAGTTTAGTTTGGTGTCCAGACCTGTGACGTGCGACTGAAAAGTTTGTTTCTGACGCCCCTTTGCGTTCTGTTGAGGACGTTTAGAGTGTGTTGTTGGTGCTGCCTGGAGAGGGGCTGGGGTGCTGAGATGGTGGAGTGCTTCAGCTGCCCTGGCTGCTGCCTGTGGCTGCAGAACAAACCGCCTCAAATGCCGTGGCCTAAAAGAGAAATCGCCCCAGTTCTGCAGCCGGGGCTGGTCTCAGCTAAATGCTGCTTCTACCGCAGGCAGCAGGGGGCTGGAACAGGCAAACAGGCTTTGCTGAGAGGGCTGGGGTCTGGCTGGACTCCTCTCTTTTCACGTGACCTCACATCTCCTAGTCTAGTGGTTGGCAAACTCATTAGTCAACAGAGCCAAATAGCAACAGTACAACGATTGAAATTTCTTTTGAGAGCCAAATTTTTTAAACTTAAACTATAAAGGTAGGTGCATTGTTATTAACTTAATTAGTGTACTTCTAAGGTTTAGGAAGAGCCAAGCTCAAGGGGCCAAGAAGCCACATAGGGCTCATGAGCCGCAGTTTGCCGACCAAGGTCCTAGTCAAAGCTCTCAGATCCAGGCAGCTGGGGCCCAGGTAGAATTCTGCAGGGACAAGCCACAGGGGCACAGGGTTGGCAGCCTCTGCTTGCTTTCCCCTGTCCAGTGCCCCAAGGATAAGGACGCAGTGCAGAGGGAGGTCTACACCCAGGTGGAAAGCTCAGGAAGCATGGACCATTGGGGCCACTTGTCACAACCCACCAGCCTTGCTCCCCCCAAACCCCCTGTTTCCACCCATGCACAGGCAGAGATGAAGGGGGAAATGTAAGTTAGTCACTAGTTGTCATGTGTACCATTAAGTTGCTTATATGTTTGTACATAGCCAAGTGCATACATGTAGTGATCCTGGAAACATAGATTCCCCTTTATTTAAGAGTTTTATGCTATCCTACTGAACATTGTCTGGAGGCAGGGTTATGGGAGAATAGTGAGTGGGGGGAAGGCTTCCAGCCAGATAGATTAATCAATCAGTATGGAAATCAAAATGAGATCAGATGCCACAGCCAGATTATCTTAAATCAGTTCACGTGGTGGCTATGAAAGGACATTCGTCTGGGTACCTGGTCAAGACATCATTATGTTCTATCATGTCCTGACAATAGCCTGGAAAATGACCTGAGATATAAAATATTCTTTTTCATTTTCCCTATAATGCTGTACAATATCCTTTATTTTATAGGGATTATTTTTTTACTGTCTTGTTTACTTACTTGAAGCTTTCTATTTATAGCAGGCGTACTATATGCCAGGCCACGAATTTCGTGTCGGGAACGTAGTGGTGAATTAAATTAACCTGACATTCTCCTCTCACAGTTTAGAGGCTGGAGCTATTTTTTTTTTTAATGACTCTAAAATTTAGGGAAAACTTTGACTAACTTAAATAATGTGAAAGTAAGTTCATCTTCCTCCGTGGTGGTCTTGACCTTAACTCTGTAAGTTCCTAGTCTTCCCACTATTACAAACAAGAAACTGAGGAAGGGGTGGTACCATCTTTATGCTTACAGATTGATGAATGGAAGATTGAAAGGTTAAGCGTGTACTTGCTCCTGTTTACACGACTTAAGTGAGATGAGTGGAGCTGGAATTCAAGCCCAGCCCTTGTGATACTGAATCCAGTCCGAGTCTCACAGGACCGTGTGGTTTCATGGGAATATTTAGAGTGGTGCTATCCTAGTGAGGTAGCGAGAGATTTCCTGGGGACCTGGCCTTGCCAGTCTCTGCTCATCTCCAGCTCTTTGTGAATAGCATTGAGTGAACATTGACCTCAGTTTACCAGTGGCTTCTTCATAAATTTAATTCTACTTTGACTAGAAAGTCAATTGCATACTGGGATGTTCCTAAACAAAAGAGGACTCTCAAAATGATATTCACAGGTCAGTAGCTCAGATAGTGAGAGATGCAGAATGTGTGATGGTGATGATGATTTTTATAGAGATGCTTTGTCACTAGTCTTGTTCATCAGAGATGCAAGGCATGTTGTGAGGACTATAGCATCCCTAAGGTCTCTAATGCAGATTTTATTGTGAGAATGTCATTTATAGGCCACACATCTGCCTGAAAGACTAGAGATATAGATACAGGTTAGCATTAGGATTTTTTTTTCTTCTGCTGATTTCTTTTCTTTGATTGACACAAAAGAGCATTCAATCTACTAAAACACAGAAAAAAACACAACGGTTTTTTTTTGTTTTCAGATGTTCCAGCAGAGCCCCACAAGCAATGACCTTTTCATTCAACTCTCTTTAGGGTTTGATGCCTATTTTACATCCCGCACACTTGAAAACAACAGAAGGAACGTCTGGTTTGCTGAATACTGGGAGGAAAACTTCAACTGCAAGCTGACGATTAGTGGGTCAAAGAAAGAAGACACGGATCGCAAATGCACAGGTAATTTCATTCTCTCGGTCCCGTTAGCCTACGTGGCCAGTGAAATGTCTGCATACCTGACAGAAGGAAGCCTGGCTGGAGACAAATTGGAAAAGTAAATTGAGTTTTACTAGATTGTTCAGAAAATGGAACAGGAGCATACATCTCGGGGGACAAGAGAAGTACAGGCAAGATTATCCTTTCCTGCCTGCCCATCTAGCAGTAATTGGCCTTTTCGTTGATTCTTTGAATTCAAAAGGGGTCGTGTTGCTCTGAATGCTCTCACAGGTAAATATTGGTTCATGTTGTAGCCAGGAGTCTGAAGTTATTTTTACATAGACAGAAATCTCTGACAAATTCCCTATCGGACCCTGATTTAATTACTACCATGGATGGTATATGTGATTACGGATACAAAGTACTTGGTCAGTGGTTCTCAACCTTCCTGATGCCGCGACCCTTTAATACAGTGCCTCATGTTGTGGTGACCCCCAACCATAAAGTTATTTTTGTTGCTACTTCGTAACTGTAATGTTGCTACTGTTATGAATCGTAATGTAAATATCTGATATGCAGGATGTATTTTCATTGTTCGTGACCCACAGGTAGAGAACAGCTGGTTTAGAGTAATGAGTTTCAACTGAGTTTCATAACATCAAAGTTAATGACTCACCTGCTATTTAAAATATGTTTAAAAATAGTCACCCAGGCTCATATGTAACCTTACAAAACTATTTCAAATTAAAAACACATGTGTATGCGTCATATAAATGTATTAGTAAGAAGGAAAGTTATACGTTCATTCATTGATCCAGTCACAAATGCTTGCGGAGCAACTCCTTTCTGCAAAGCTGTGTGCTAGGCACTAGTGATCTGATGGTGGACAAACCTGGCAAGGACCCTGCTTTGGTGACACTTAGAGAATAGTTGCAGGGTCGGGGGTGGGGGGGAAGTCCACATTATTCTGGGGATCTCTCTATAAATATATCATTTTAATCTGCAATATTGTGTCTGAGAGCTGTAAGGGTATATAACTCATTGGAATTTCACTCATTGAAAGCAGAAACTGCCTCAGAAGACCTCCTTGAGGAGGAGGAGTCACTGGTTGATTAAGGAAGGCAGGAGAGGGATAGATTGAAGAATGTCTGTTGATGAAGAACATGAAAAAGGGCTTGAGGCAGGAGGAATTGTGGTACCTCTCAGGATGTGAAAAATAGAAAAATGTGACAAAAGAAAATAAGAGAATGAATGTGTGAGCTGAGGTTGCAAGTGCAGAGATATGGACAGGGAATAAGTCATGTTGGGATGTATGTGGAATGTGGTCTTTGTCCTAAGAATACTAGAAGTCATGCAAGGGTGTGGCATGACCTACTAGCTTACCACCTAGCCCAGTGGTCGGCAAACTGCGGCTCACGACACCCATGCGGCTCTTTGGCCCCTTGAGTGTGGCTCTTCCACAAAATACCGCCTGCTGCGCCCGGGCCACAAAGTTTCAATCGCACTGTATGTGCGCCCCCGCACGTGGTATTTTGTGGAAGAGCCACACTAAAGGGGCCGAAGAGCCACATGTGGCTTGCATGCCGCAGTTTGCTGACCACTGACCTAGCCCTTTATTAAACAGCATTTCCCAATTCTAGACTTCAGTTGCCTTCAAGGTTTGTAATGACAACCTTGAAGTCCCACCAAACTCTAAAATGCATTCTGTATGCCCAGGAAAGCAACACTCATGTTGGAAACACTTCCTGTGCTATGATATAGCTCTCTGAACACCCATTCCAAAACATCTATTAATCAGGAATAATATATGTGACTCATGATACGAAACACACCATCAATAGTGGGAAGTTTAGGCCTTTTCCTCAAGAAGCTTTCTGTAAAATGCAGAGATAAGATATGAACAGAGATAGGAGTAAAGCAATGATACATAATAAATAGGCCTCCTTGAATGTATAACTCAGTTAATTAGAATATCCTACTAACAGTATTCTCTATGCCACGGTATATAGCATCAGTGTTTTCAGAAATTTCCTTATCCTGTTGGGGGAAAAAGAAAAAATCAATTTGATGTTGACTTGATCTAAGTGACACAAAGCTTTCAAGTGGAAATTGAAAAAGAGAGTTTGATGTCTGGATAATTTGTCTGTATGACAAGGAACATCCACGTATACTAGAAATAGCCACATGGTCGATGACAGTTTTGGTTCTTTCTGACATGGAATATTCTGTAGAGTGCCTCGTGGCCATCAGGAATGTTCCACCTGAGATCAACCCCTGGTCCTTTATTATGCTTTAACATAAGCTGTTTTATCTGTAGTCACATTTTAGTTCTGATCATCAAGAATCTGGGTTTATAAAAACAAATAAGCTCATTAGCCAAACCACCAACTTTTAAAAAAAGGAAATACAAGTAGTTGCATTTTCATGTCTTGCTCCACCCATGTAAAAAATCAATGATCACATTTACTAAATTACCTGTGGTCCCAAATTATTTGAATATCCTCTCCTTTCTCTTTTGTTTGTTCTTGAACTGGCTCTTGTACTCACAGAGGGGAAGGGGAGGCCAAAGAAAGAAGCAGTTCCACTCCAGATTGGTAGCTGGAAGGATTAATAAGCAAGGGGGCTTGTCTTAAATGCTGCAAGACAAGTAGATCTCTGCACATGCCCACCAGGATCTTAAATGTTTATATGGAGGCCTTTATGGGGTTCAGTCCTATATACAGACTCGGATGGTCTCCACAACTTACTCTCTCATGGCTACGCCCTTGGAACAGCTGCCCCTGTGGGAACAGAAGGCAGGTATATGTTCAGAGGACAGGGGAGGGTATAAGGAACTTCCTATGGCCTGGGTCCAGCTTGTGGGTCCACTGGCAGTCATATTCTCCTGATGCCCTCCTTGACCTCCGTTCCTTCCTTGCCCCTTCCATTTTGAGAAGGTGCGCCATCTTGAGGGGAGGTATTCCTTCCCTTGTGTCTCTTGCTCTTACCGTAACTGGATATGAACACATGCATGGTTGTGTATTTGTTTTTCTTTCTTGTACTTCCTTTTTTCAAAGCCAATTAAACTTGTATGTTGCATTGGAGATGTTACCAAAATATATATTAAGATTTTTTAAATAGTAAGTAAACCTCAACTTAGAAGAGGAGAAATGGTGGGAAAGACATGCTGAGGGGCTAGACTAGAGGAAAAGAAGTGACGGGGAGAAGTGACAGGTTGCATTGTATTAATGAGAGTTTTTTGAAACTGTGGCAAGAAACTAGGTTTTAATGAGGAAAAGAGCGGAGGGGAGAGGGAGCCTGGTGGTATAAGGGGAAGCTGCTTTGGCAACCAGATTTTGAAACATTAAAAGAATGAGCACCTTGGGGAGACGCTGCAGGACACAGGGGTTAGCTGAGGAGTCTGGCATGGAGACCATGCATGCTTTGATCTGAGGGCTGAGAAAAGCAGTCCCCTTCACAGATCTTTCTGTGCCTGGGTCTACTAATGAGTGAGAAAGTCTTAAAATAGTTATTTCAGATTCAGAGACAAAATGTAAACTTTTTTTTTTCTGGGCTGTATAGCCTTTTTAGCCAAAATGAGCGATTGTGTATTAGCTCTAAGTAGACTGTCATCAAATCAGTCATCTGGCAAGACAAGTTTTGAAGCTGAGTTAGGGGACCCACATCGCTTGGAGAGAGCAAACTTCTGGGGTCAGAATAACAATGAGCTCTATTCTTTAAACAATAAAATAAAATAAAAACAATGAGCTCTAAAAACGCAAGAGAGTATAAAATCATGGAAGAAAGAATAATTATTGAAAATTATATTAAAAATCAACTATTTGTACTTCATAATTTAACTTGGGGCTAGATGTGCATGGATTCTTATGAAAAAGTGACCTAAATAGCCATGTGATCTTTATTCCTATAAATTATCCACATGCATTTACAGTTTTTCTTCTACCAAGAAAGCTACACTATTCTTCAGTATTTTAAGACAATTACAACTTTTCTTAAGACCCAGTCCCAAGATCCCCAACCCTGAGAGCTAGACATTCTTCCTCCTGGTGGTGGCCTACTTTCCCCTGATAACAGATTTAACCTTGGCAGTGACCCATCCTGCTCCTGGGTTATCCGGGCGGCCACCCCCAAGGGATCGTGCTGCTGTGCAAGTTTATTGACGGTGTAATCACATTCACAGGAAACACAAACTGCATTTGACAGGTACTAATGCCGTTCACGCTGCCCTATGGAGGAGATACATTTGCGCGTGGAGATGGTGCAGGCTACACACACAATGAAGGAAGCTCTGCCAGGCAGCTCAGCACAGAGCCCTTGCCATCTGTGGGCAGAAGGGTCAGATGTGATTGTTTGTCAAGTGGGTTTATGTCCTGCCGCCTCCACATCACGTATTGTGCGTGTTCCACCTCAAGACTTGCAAGTGTATCCCCGACACAAAGACCCGTTTCGAGTATGACCTCTTTGGAAGGAACATTCTATTTTTGTGAAGATACCAAGGTCAAGAGCAGAAGGAAAGTTACAGAGATGAAGTGGTCTCTGAGAAAGAGATTGAGGATGAAGAGTATTTAAGAACCATGGGTGCGAGCCAGAAAGCGCCGTGGGTTTGTGTTCTAAGGCTGCTCCTGAGAAGCCTGGGAGAGCTCAGGCATTCATGAACCTGGGAAACCCTCTCCTCAGCTTTGCAGTGGGGGTGGTAAGACTCTACACCCAGAGTTGTTGTGGGGATTAAGTTAGAGATTTCAAGTAAAAGATCTCAAATCAAACGGGTACATAGTACTAGCTCATTAAACGGTCGTCTGTTCTGGGCTGCGTGCAGCTACCTGTGAGGGTTTCGTGAAGACCAGATTGCCTTACCTCAGTCCTAAGGAAAATCAGGATGCACGTAGAATTCTGACAGAAAAATAAAGCCAGAGGTTTCAATAAGTATATCATATGGACAGGAGTTCTTCACTGGGGGGCACACTGAACAGTGATGTACTGAGGTTTCAGAGTTTGTAGCAGGCAGGATACAACTTTATGCTGTG